CAAGACGATGCCAATTACATTATTACTAGCATCGCATATCAGCTTAAATGGCTTATTCCAGTCCAAAGCCACTATAATTGGTGCACTCACTAAGTTTTGCTTCAGCTCCTCAAATGCTTTTAGACAAGCATCATCAAACTTTAAAGGTACATCCTTCTTAATCAACCTGCAAAATGGAGATGAATTTTTGAGAAATCCTTAATAAAGCAGTTATAGAAACATGCATGTCATAAGAGGTTGCGGACTCCTTTAACAGAAGCTGCTGATGACAACCTTTAAATTGCTTCCACCTTAGCCTTGTCAACTTCTAGAACGTCTTTGGACACCTTGTGTCCCAACACTATGTCTTCTTGTACTATGAAATAATACTTCTACCAGTTTAACACTAGATTAGTCTCCTCGCACCTAGAAATCACTTTACCAAAATTGGTTAAGCATTCATCAAACGAGGGACCAAACACAAAATAATTATCCAGAAAGACCTCCACAAATCTTTCCACCATATCATTAAAAATAACCATCATAAACCTTTCAAAAGTCAGAGGTGCGTTACATAATCCGAATGACATTCTCTTTAAGGTATAAGTCCCACAAGGGCATGTAAATATTCTCTTCTCTTGATTCTTAGGGGCAATAGCAATTTGATTGTACCCCGAATAGCTATCAAGAAAATAGTAGTATTTCTATCCAGCTAACATGCCAAGTATTTGATCAATAAAGGGGAGTGGGAAGTGATTTTTACATGTAACATTATTCAACTTTCTGTAGTCTATGCATATTTGTCAGCCAGTAACCATCCTAGTTGGGATTAATTAATTTTGATCATTTACTAAAAAGTCATACCTCTCTTCTTAGGCACACATTGGACTAGACTTACTCACTTACTGTTTGAGATATAAAATACAATACCCGCATCGAGACACTTAGTAACTTTTTCTCTTACCACCTTTTTCTTGATATGGATTTAGGAGACACTGATGCTTCACGCTAGGCTTGTCTCCCTACTTTATGAGGATCTAGTTCATAAAGAAAGTAGGGCTAATACCTATTACCTCAGACATATTCCTTCCAATGGCATGCTTGTACTCTCGCAACATCCTCAATAACTTCTCTTCCTACAAATAAAAAAAATCAGAAGAAACAATCACATGCAAAGTATTAGAACTACCTCGTAGTCCAAGATGGTAAAGTCTGATAGGAAGATAAAGTGATGAATCTGCAGTAACATATCCTCAATTACCCTCTTGGGATATGCCAAAGATATATCAGCCAACTATAGCATGACTGTAGCAGATCGTGGAGCTCTTAAGCCTAGTTGTTTGAACAATGATTACGACATCACATTTATACTTGCACCTAATCACAAAGAGCTCTACGTACATCAACTTTACCAATTCTCATGGAGATTGTGAAGTTTCCCGAATCCTTAACCTTTTGCGGAAGCTGTCATTGAATCCTAGAAGTGCACTCCTTAGTGAGCGCAACAATTTCAAAATTAGTCAACCTTCGTTTGTGTGCCACTATGCCCTTTATGTACTTTATCATATTTTGGGACATTAAAAATCATGTCCACTAATTAAATGTTCAAATGTACCTATTTTAATATGTCTAGAAACTTGTTAAACATGTGATCATATTTCTTCTTTTAAACCTCTGAGGGAAGGGCGGTGGACCTCTTTCGATTACAACTTGCTTAGGTATTGGTGTGTTCCTCTCAGTCACCTCCATGGGTTTTGGAACTCTTTATTATTTAACCCTAGACAAATCCTTTTCTTACGTACCACTACCAATTTTTTCCCATTTCTCAAAATCACTGTATTGACTTATAGATTTTATCAGTATCACGGGAAGAGCCCTTACAGGTCTGGTAACCTGGTTACTTTCTATTTTCCCAACTTGTCTTTTCAAGTTCCTAAAGTTAGTCCTTAGCTACTAATTTTCTAGAATTGTTTGTTGATTGTTGCCCAACATCTTTCTCAATAATTTAGTCACATTCTTCTCCACTTGTTGTGGTAGTTTCTTTGGTTATTGATAGTGCCCTTAGGGTTTGTTATTATTCCAATTTCCATCCCAAGAGAAATTAGGATGATTCCTCCAATTTGGATTGTACGTGTTCCCATATGAGGGCGTTCTGATTCATTAGACCCCTGCGTTATTGCCCTATATAGTAGATGAATTCATGATTCAAAGAATATTGGTCATTTGTGTGACCTTCCGAATATATCTCGCAACAAGTGGTTATCTATTGCACATGTTGTATCGGTTGGCCTGTGCCATTATCAACTTACCAACCTGATTTGCTATCTTTTCCATATCAGCTCTCAAGGTCGTGAGTATATTCGCATCAATCATACATGTTGACTTCTTCTTAACTATTCTAGTTGGTTCTCTATCAGCTTGCTAGTTTTGATTATTGGTAGCAAAATTATTCAGCAATGTTTAGATTTTGCCATAAGTCTTCACCATGCACATACCTTCATAAGTTGAGTCTAGATACATCTTTTAATCCTCATCTAACCTATCTATAAAAGTGTGCCCTAATAAGTAGTTGTTTATAACGACTCGATTAGTCATTTTTCTTTCTAGAAATCCATTCCCATTTTTGAAACTTCTCATATGTTATTTTCATATATTAAGGCTTGTGGAGTCAGTTGGTTTAGTTTTGGAAGGGTTCGAGTTGAAATCGGAATACTTAGTTTCATAGTATTGGCCGAAGGTGGCCAAGTTTGACTTAAGTCAATATTTTGAGTAAATGACCTCAAAATTAGGATTTAAAGGTTTTAATAGGTTTGCATGGTGGATTTGGGCTGGGTCACATGTTTGAGTCGAGTTTCTCGTGGCCTGGGAGTGATTCGACGCTTATTATTAAAAGTTAGCGTTTTAAAGGTTTTAGAATTTGTTAAGATTAACTTGGAGTGGACTTTGGTGATATCGGACCTCGTTTGGTGTTCCGAGCCTCGGATAGGTTAGTATCATCATATTGGACTTCTGTGCTAAATTTGGTTCCATTTCGGGTTATCTAGGTATAATTCATCGCATTCGGAGTTAGTTGAAAGAAGTTGAAAGTTTTGAAGGTTGATTAGTTTGGTTTGGCGTGCTATTATTGGCCGTGATGTTATTTTAGGTGTTTTGAAGCCTAAAATAGGTTCGGATTATGTTTATGGAGTTGTTGGTATGTTTGGACGGGATCCCGGGTGGCTCCACTGAGTTTCAGACCACTCAGAGCAATATCGAAGTTAACAAATTTTGCTGCTATCTAGTGTGCATCGCAATCGCAAAGAAGGTCTCGCGGTCGTAGAGTGTTATGTAGAGCTGGGGATGATTTTTTCTTAATGATCATGGAAGGGGCATCACGATCATGGTTAATGGACATGCTGTGCTTTGCGTTCGCGTGATGAGGGTCATGAACGCGATGTGTTAGATAGACTGGCCTAGGTTGACAATTGTTCTTCACAATCAGGTGAGGTCTTTTGCCATCGAAGATGAGGAAGTTCTAGGGCTGGAATATTTGGCCTTCGTGTTTGCGGAGCTGGGCTCGTGTTCGTGTAAGCTTGGTTGGCTGTGGGTCGCTATCCTGATAGATTCCTCACGTTCACAAATGAGGGAGATTTTCTAGAGGCAAAGTTGGCCTTCGCGATCGCGAGGGTACTTCTGCGATTGCAAAGAAGGAGACATGGGAAGATTATAAGTTTCAATTTTGGGACTTAATTCATTTCATCTTATTCTCTCATTGCTTGGGGGATTTGGGTGCTTCTTTTGGAGCCATTTTCATTTATTAACACAAGGTAAGTGATTCTTACTGGTTGTTAGCTAAATACATGGATTATATATGAATTTGTACGTGAAATCAATAAAATAATTGTGGGATTTTATTGGAAAACCTAGAAGTGATAAAAATGAGATTTGACCACAAAATTGGATATGAAATTAGAAACAAATTATATATTTCAGTTTGTGATGTTAAGGGTAACATTTAATTTTGAGAATTTTCGGAATCGGAGCATATGTGCCTGGGGTTGACTTTTGTTGACTTTTCGTGTGAGGTCGAGTATTGTTTCTAATTGTTAAATTATGGGCTCTTTGGTATATTTTGATTAGTTGGCACATTCTATTGCTTAGTTTCTGGTTGTTCGGCATTGGTTTTTTTGATTTGATGCACTTGCCATGTCTTTTACCTGTCATACTATTTTTTATGTACATTGATTATTGGACCACTAGTAAGTGTCGATGTCGACCCTCGCTACTACTTCTTCAAGGTTAGACTAGATACTTATTGGGCACATATTGATTTACATACTCATACTACACTTTTGCACTGATTGTGCGGGTAGTGAGATAGGTACATCTGCTGGTCACACAGGCGCATAGGTGTACCAGCTGGGAGACTTAGTGGTGAGCTACTTCCTATTCTTCCACCCCCAACACCCAGAGTCTTCTTCCCCTATATTTATTATATTCTGTTGACTTTGATTCCAAACAATAGTTTTAATGGTTTTGTATATTCTTGTAGCTGCTCTTGCACACGTGACACCGCATTTTGCGGATTTTAGACATATGTTCATGGCTGTATTTGTTGTTATATCATTCAGCCTTATGTTTTATTTCATGTTTCGTATCATGGAAAAGATGTTGGTATTTTATTATGAATTCTAAATCTACTTTTGCTTATTTATTTTCATTACTTGTTTTAAAAAGTGCAATGAGAAGTCGTGATGATTATTGTTGGCTTGCCTAACAGCAGCATTGGGTGCCATCACGATCTATGGTAGGAAATTGGGTCATGACATCTTGGTATGTGAGCACTAGGTTCACATACGTTTTACGAGTCATGAGAAGACCTAGTAGAGTCATGCGAATCGATGCAGAGACATCTGTACTTATCTTCGAGAGGCTATAGGGTGTTAGGAAACTTCCCTTTCTTCATTTCCTATCTTGCTATCAATGTTGTTCTAAGTCTAAATCTTTCTCTTATTTTCTCACATATGGTGAGAACGCACACGATGGCATCATCTAGCGGTAGAGTGGTTGTACCCCTGACTAGAGGGGGAGCCCAGGCCCCTACTGCTCATGCTTCAGGGCACATTGCTGCTATTTATCAAACCTCAAAGGTACTACTTGCAGGCGAAGTTCAGCCGGTTGCAGTGGCTAGAGCAAAGACTAGATCGGTCGCGACCATCGAGGAGCAGAAGTAGCTGGACAGATTTACTAGGATTCATCCTCCCCACTTTAGCGATGAGCCGTCATAGGACCCACAAGATTTCATTGACCGTTGCAGGGACATGATGCATAATTTGGGACTAGTGAAGTCCAATGGGATTGATTTCACCACTTTTTAGCTAGAGGGAAAAGCCCGTAGATAGAGGCATTCTTATCTTCTAGGTATGCCAGCAGGTTCACCTCCCTTGACTTGGGATCAGTTCACTCACATCTTCCTAGAGAGTGCAAAGGTATATTTTGGGCTTGAACTACGGGATTCAAGTTACTATGGTCCGAGAGGCAAAGTTAGGGACTTCTTTCCACAAGGATGTGGAGATATCTCGGAGGATCAAGCATATCCGCAGTTAGAGAAGAGAAGCCATGTTGAGGGACAGACGACCTCTGTATTCTGGAGGTTTCAGCAGCGCCCTGTCTGGGGGTAGAGGATAGTTTGGGAGGGCCCATCCTAGTAGGCTCATGTATTCATCACTGCAACCTATTCAGGGTACTCCAGTGCAGCCCTACTTCAATATCATTCTAGAGAGTACCTGCCGTCCATCGGCTATTCAGGGTTTCTCCAGTGGGCACTTAGGCTATTAGGTCCAGATCTTGAGTTAGTAGTTTCCCACATCTAGAGGTTGTTTTGAGTGTCGGGAGCTTGGTCATGTGAAGAGGTTTTGTCCTAGACTTCAAGGGGAGGCAGTGTAGAAGGGCCATCAGGCCATAATTACCGCACCGCTCATTCGGCTGGCCAGAGACAGAGGACAGGTAGTTAGGCTTCTCCCTAGATGTGGAGGCCATCTAGGTGGCGCTCCAGGTAGATTCTATGCCTTTACAACTAGGTTGGAGTCAATAGCCTCTGACGTTGTGATCACATGTATTATTTTTGTTTGTCATAGAGATGCATCAGTACTATTTGATACAAGATCTACCAATTCATATGTATCCTCTCATTTTGCTCCTTATCTGGATGTATCTCGTGAGTCCTTAAGTATTTCTGTGTTTGTGTCCAAGCTGGTGAGTGATTTTGTCATTGTGGATCAGGTTTACCTGTCCAGTGTGGTGTCTTTATATGTGTATGATACCAGAGCAGACCTTTTATTGCTCGATAATATTGACTTTGAGGTTATCCTTGGCATAGATTGGTTGTCTCCGCATCATGCCATTCTTGATTGCTATTCCAAGATTGTTACATTAGTGATGCTAGAGTGGCCTAGACTAGAGCATAGATATTCATCTAGTAGTGCATCCAGTTGGGTTATTTCTTTCTTGAAATCTCAACATATGGTTGAGAATGGTTGTTTGGCCTATCTGGACTTTGTTCGAGATACTGCTATGGAGACTCTCGTGATAGATTTAGTGCCTATGGTGAGGGAGTTTTCTGATATATTTCCTACTGACTTACCAGGCATGCCATTGGATTGTGATATCGATATCGATATTGATTTGGCGTCAGGCACCCAGCCTATCCTATTCCGCCTTATCATATAGCTCTTGCGGAGTTGAAAGAGCTGATAGAGCAGATTTAGGAGTTGCTCGAGAAGGGATTCATCAGGCCAAGTATGTCAGTTTGGGGTACACTAGTGTTATTTGTGAAGACGAAAGATGGGAGTATGTGGATGCGCATTGATTACCGTAGGCTGAATAAGGTCATCATCAACATCTAGTTTACACAAAACATGCAAAATGATCGAAAATGACGTTGCCTCTATCAACTAGTGATTCAATTTACTTGGGAAAAAAAATACCAAGAAAAAAGAGAGAAAATGATCACCTTCTATTTGCTGTTTTGGATAAAGGGAATGCCAGTTGCCACATGCCAAACAAAAACTTGAGACATAGTTGTAAAAAAGAAAAACAGTGTATTTATAAAATAGAAACGTTTTAGGAAATTTCCTTTGGGCCACACCACTTTTGGCCGCAATGACCCAAATAGGGTTATTAAAGTAAAATCATACCTAAATTAGGGTTTCTGGACAAACTTTATACCGAAAATGTCCTTACCGCTAGGTTTGAATTTATCTCCATGATTCTCTCTCACATATTTAATGTTTATCTTCCCAATACATGAAAAATATCAAGCATGCAAACCCTCTTTCCCATAATTTTTTTTTTTTTTTATCTTTTTACGTATTTTTTCATCCTTTTTTTGTAGTATACACATATATATTTCGAATATATACATATATTTTTAGAGAAAATACTTCTTTTTAGAAAAGAGAGTTATAATACTTCTTAATTCTTAATGTTATAATACTTCTTTTTAGAAAAGAGAGTTATAATACTTCTTAATTCTTAATGTAAAGAAAATATATTTTTTATATTTGATATAATAATAAAAAGATAGTTATTAAAAATTAAGATGAATAATAAGATACTGTTAGCTTCGATATTTCATTGCTAAATGTTAGCGCCACTATATTAGCGATGAATTTCACTTTTTTTTGTAAAATAATCCATATTTAAATTAATATATTTTCTTTTTATCTAGTGATGAAATCATAAATATAACAATATTTCATAGATAATTAGTTAGGAAACGTCATCAACCACTAAAATTAGTTTTTCTTGCACTAAAATTGTCATAAAACTCTTTAATATATGAGTACTTATTTAAAATACGTGTCTAGATATATGAAATTATTTTAAGTACTTATTCAAAATAATTCAGGACCACATATACATAAATAAATGAATAAATAAATATATAAAGTCTTCACCATATGAATACTTAAATTAAGAGTTTAAATATAAAAAAAGGCACTCCAAATACTTATTTAATAAAATAAGAGTTTAGATATAAGAAATTACTCTAAATACTTATTTAAAAATATTAAAGGACCAAACTTACATACACGCACATATGAGCTTGATAAGTCAAGGAGTCAGTTGATAAGCTTTGAGGCCTTAAGTATACTGATTATTGCTTAAGATTAATTTTTATATTTTAAAATTTTCTATTTGAGAATTAGTAAATTCTTTGATTAAATACAATTACTAAATAGTTTATATTTTAGAAAAATCTAACTTTTATATTTAAAATTCATTATTCCTAAATTATCTCTATTTTCTTTTTGGACTAGCTCTTGTAATGGCTTTGGTAATCAAAGAATAATATTTTTTTAACTATTTATTGTAGTTAAATAATACTATTGATATGGTAAATGCATGACAAAAAGTTATAACTAGCTAGCGGAGTTTATTGTCTCTTCGAATTTTGTGGCTATATTATCTTATCATAACAAATAATTATAGTCATTAAGCAAACTATTGCCATGATTATTTATGACATGAATAAAGAAAGAAATTTTTTTATTCAATGTTTCTTGCAAATTATGTTAATTACATCGTTGCGATACATAGTTATATTGACCGTTTATATAATAGCCAATATATAATTTTATTCATTAAGGTCATACGTATCGGCCACTAGTTATTCACAGCAACTATATAACTCAATTGACTAAGGTTGTAGTCATATAACCTATGTTAATTACATTGTTGCGATTCATAGTTATATTGGTCGTTTATATAATAACCAATATATAATTTCATTCATTAAAGTCATACGTATCGGCCACTAGTTATTCATAGCAACCATATAAGTTCATTGACTTAAGTCATAGTCGTATAATCTATGTTAATTACATCGTTGCGTTGAATTGAACGTTTATATAATAACCAATATATAATTTCATTCATTAAGGTCATATGTATCGGTCACTAGTTATTCATAGCAACTATATAAGTCCATTGACTAAGGTTGTAGTCATATAACTTATGTTAATTACATCATTGCGATTCATAGTTATATTGATCATTTATATAATAGCCAATATATAATTTCATTCATTAAGGTCATACGTATCGGCCACTAGTTATTCATAACAACCATATAAGTTCATTGACTTAGGTCGTAGTCATATAACCTATGTTAATTACATCGTTGTGATTCATAGTTATATTGAATTGACTATTTATATAATAGTCAATATATAATTTCATTCATTAAGGTCATACGTATCGGCCACTAGTTATTCATAGCAACCATATAAGTCCATTGACTAAGGTCATAGTCATATAACCTATGTTAATTACATCGTTGCGATTCATAGTTATATTGGCCATTTATATAATAGCCAATATATAATTTCATTCATTAAGGTCATACGTATCGGTCACTAGTTATTCATAGCAACCATATAAGTTCATTGACTTAGGTCGTAGTCATATAACCTATGTTAATTACATCGTTGCGATTCATAGTTATATTGGCTATTTATATAATAGCCAAATTATAATTTCATTCATTAAGGTCATACGTATCGGCCACTAGTTATTCATAGCAACCATATAAGTTCATTGACTTAGGTCGTAGTCATATAACCTATGTTAATTACATCGTTGCGATTCATAGTTATATTGGCTATTTATATAATAGCCAAATTATAATTTCATTCATTAAGGTCATACGTATCGGCCACTAGTTATTCATAGCAACCATATAAGTTTATTGACTTAGGTCGTAGTCATATAACCTATGTTAATTACATCGTTGCGATTCATAGTTATATTTAATTGACCGTTTATATAATAACTAATATATAATTTCATTCATTAAGGTCATACGTATCGGCCACTAGTTATTCATGGCAACCATATAAGTCCATTTACTAAGGTCTTAGTCATATAACTTATGTTAATTATATCGTCGCGATTCATTGTTATATTGAATTGACCGTTTATATAATAGCCAATATATATTCATTCATTAAGGTCATACGTATTGGCCACTAGTTATTCATAGCAACCATATAAGTTCATTGACTTAGGTCGTAGTCATATAACCTATGTTAATTACATCGTTGCGATTCATAGTTATATTGGCCATTTATATAATAGCCAAATTATAATTTCATTCATTAAGGTCATACATATCGGCCACTAGTTATTCATAGCAACCATATAAGTTTATTGACTTAGGTCGTAGTCATATAACCTATGTTAATTACATCGTTGCGATTCATAGTTATATTTAATTGACCGTTTATATAATAACTAATATATAATTTCATTCATTAAGGTCATACGTATCGGCCACTAGTTATTCATAGCAACCATATAAGTCCATTGACTAAGAAAAAATAGACAAATCTAATAAGAATTAAGAAAATAAGTTTTGATCAAATTTCATTTATGGTGAAAACTAATTATGATTGACTCCTATTTTTATATTAAATAGCTTTTGCAAGCTTTCAAAAATTAAGATTCTTATTTTAATAGCTATTCTCTAACCATGTGATCTGTTTTCTTCCATTCCACTTTTTTTAATAAAATTTTAAAATTATTATATTGAGAAAAAAATAATAGTAGGAACGTTGTTACAATATTGTATATAATGTTTTTAAAAAATAAGAAAATAGTTTTTTATGATTAATATCTTAATTGAGAGAGATTACTTTAAGTCTGAACGCATAAGATAATTTTTTTAAAATGGGGTCCAATTTAAAAAATAAAAGGATATGACTTATTTGAATTTGAGATGAGATTTTAAAATATATATATATATAATAAGAAAAATCATATTTTGGATATCAGCAATAGAGTCAAAGTTTCTTTTAAAATAATTTTTAGTTTTTATTTGTACTATATTAAAATGAGTATGGTGCAATAAATATTAAATTAAACAAACTAACGTTTCTTGTACTACCAAGTTTCTTGGTTTGAATTCATGTTTAGTTTAAGGATAAAAAAATGAAAGGTTTGTTTTACTGATGTGTAGATCGTATATTTTTATTAAATCAAATATATAATTAATTTTTATTAAATATACAGTATAATTTGCTATACACATAAAATACATAAAATATATAGAGACTTTTCATCTTCATATGTATGGAAACATGTATCAATTTTAGTTGCTCAATGTATTTTGGGAATAGAGATAAGTTACTGTATTTATTAGTGTGTTTTGGAGGGAAATTTATTTGTGGGAAAGATTGCAAAATTGAATAAGGTTATGATAGTATTTTTACGAGTGTGGCAACATTTGAGCCAAATTAATGTGGCCGTTTAGCAACTCTCAATTTTTTATTATAGAAAATTGTCATGACCCAAAATCCCATCACAGGAGTCGTGATGGCACCTAGTCTCTAAGACTAGATAAGCCAATTTTCATTATATTTTTTAAGCCATTTTTTTTATAAGTAATCAAAACTAACAGCAGAACAAATATGAATATACAACATCTCAAGACTGGTAGTACTGAGTCACGAACTCTAACTTAATACATAGAATGATCACGAGGACCGAATATACAATACTGTTTGATTACAAGTTAACAGTACAATGAAATCAAAAGACTCCAAGGGACTACGACGACCAAGCAGCTCTACCTTGAATCCTTACGATCCCGCTTTAACTCTGCTCAAGTCCGTTATCTTCAATACCTGGCTCTGCACAAAAATGTGCAGAAGTGTAGTATGAGTACG